GAGTTAGAGGTGAAAGCACAGAAGCCGTAGACACCACACTCAATAAAGGGTTGTCTTTGATGTCCAGGAATAAAAGAGGGTTAGGGCTAAGGAATGGCTAAAGCACAGGCAGAAAGACGAGAGCAGGAGCACTGCAAGACACCCATTACAGCAAGCAGTGAGCTCACCCCCAGCGACAGCAGCAGTGCGGAGGGCGGCCATCCGGTGTGCTGTGGGCGCTGTGCTCACCTTGGTATCTGTTCCACCTTGTCTCTCCCCCCAGTTCATAAAAGCAGTAACTGCTGCTGGATCCTGAGTCCGGGACCCAAACATCCCACTCACCCCAAAGAAAATTCAAGCTGCAGAGCACTTGCTTGTGAGTCCCTCATACCCAGTGCCTTCAGTGTGGGCGCAGAGGGTTCCCCGCTCCTGTGCCTCTCAACATCATCCGCACGTAAAACTGGCTAGGAAGCCTGCCTGCTACCTGCCAGTGAAAATCGGGAGCAGCGTGTTCAATTCTTCATATAAAATGGCTTTACTATATTGTTTTTGCCTGAGAGGCTAGGAAACAGCTCTTTTGAATCTTGGAAGGAACTAATTTGTAGATGACATCACTCAGCATATTTAAATATGGCAGGATTCGGATTTTTTTTTTTTTTAAATCAGCATTTGCTTTTCTTGGTTAAATGCAGCCATTTTTAGGGGTAATAATTGCTTAATATGCCTGGCACGTTATTGAAATCCCTTATGAGAGGTTCAAAATGAGTCAGAAGGTCAATTTATTCCTTGGCCGGGTTCCTTTCACAACACGGGCTTTCCTGTGCTGCTGTTCAGGAGGAGAAATTAAGACTTTGTGTATTCAAAACTTTCCAGCTGAATTCCGGCCTCATCAAGTGATATCAGAGCTCTGGCTTCTGCCTTCTGGTGCACGACTTTCATCTGTCTTAAATCTTTGGGGGCCTTCATTTTCTTCCTCAAACTTAAAAATAGGAGATCTGAACTCTGACAGATGCCAGACTGAATCCTCTAGCAGATCCCTCTATTCTCTCTGCCATCTCACTGGCTTTTGCAGCTTTTGACACTTTCGACTGCATTGTTCCTGGGCCCTACACAGAAATATAAAGAAATCCTTCATGGTGCCTCTTTTGAGAACTAAGACGCCTTTAGTACAACATCTGTATTCCTTCCAGAATGGTCTTGCCGACATTCGGTAAGCAGAAACCACTGTGAGGTCAGTGGCTACTTGCTTCTCACAGATGGGTGGCTTGCCCTGCAAACTTCCCACTCTGCCTCATCCTCACAGACAGCAGCAAGATGCAGGTGAGAAGAATTTACAGCTCCAGCTGCCTTTGATGGGCACTCTCAGAAAATCTCACTTAAGAACTTAGGTAGTATATCTCAGTTCTCCTACTCATTTCTACTGAAGATGAGCCAGACATTTATGAACCATAAATGTACTTTGCATCCTCCCTTTCTTCCATAAAAATTTCCCCTTCCTCTGCCCAGTTTTTCTGTTTTCTCTGGCTTTATGTCCTAACATTTGTAAAAACAGAAAATGTTACAGTTCAAAAGGTATTTATTTTTTAATCTCTGCCCAGAGCCACTGGTTTGAACGAGATGCTCTTCTCCACTTCTCTGTCAAGCTGAAGGTTTTATCTGAGGTTTGCAAAGCCTGTGGAACACAGCTTTTATTTCAGAACACCAAGTATAATTTGCGATTAGATTTAGAGGAAAGACACTTTCCTGTGTTCCTGGGCTGCTTGGTAAAGAGCAGTGACGGTGTTTTAATAGTTAATAAGTACGCTATCAAATTGTCAACTTCAAACATGGGGGTTTTACACAACACTAGGTTCTTCTTCAAAGGCCATCTTAATATTCTCAGGCAGGGCTTTTGTTACACCGCTGAAAGTGCAGGGTTATTCTTGCTCATCTCAGAGGGAAAATAAAATGAAGCACTGTTTTGGACAAATGGCTGTAACAGATGAGCTAAGAGGCGTAGTGTCCAAATGTATAAGGAAAAAAGGAATAATTTTACTGTGGAAGTCTATTGTAAGGGTTTGGCAGCTAATGAATGTGTTTGGATTGCAGGTGGATGGAGTCCGAGACAGACTGTCAGAGCAGCAGTACAACAGACTCGTGGACTACATCGCAAAGACATCTTGTCACCTGGCCCCCAGTTGCTCTTCCACACAAACACCGTGCTCAGTGGTGGCTGTGGAACCGCCCCCCTCCGCTGTGAAAGCATACCATTATTTGGCTGACCCACATTTTGCTCAGGTCTTCGTTAGTAAATTTACCATGGTAAAGAATAAAGCCCTGAGGAGAGGGTTCCCCTGAGTCCCCAATAGGAGGTGGATTTCTAATTGAGCAATTTTTGAAACAAGAAACCTAGTGTTACTCTTAACATTCAAGGTGGACACAAAAGGTCAACACTTTTCTATAGTTACAATTTTCTAGCCACTCACAAAATTATTAGTTTTCCAAAACAAATCAGATATTTTACAATGGGCCAAAAAAAAACTGTTCCTTTCCAATTAGGAAACAATAAACAGAATCCTGTATATGCTGTATTTTGACCAAAAATGCATTCCTTTTGCTCTCTAATGCCAAATTTCTATATACTATAGATGTTAATGCTCCACAACAAAAAGTGGTTAGTCCTTAGGATGCAGAGTTAAAAGTTTCATTTCCAATGTGGGCGTGGTGGCGCACACCTGCAATCCCAGCACTCAGGAGGCTGAGACAGGAGGATCTTTGCAAGTTCAAGGCCAGCCTGAGCTACAAAATGAGCTCAAGGCCAGCCTGAACTGCATGGCAAGACCCTGTTTGAAAAAGACAAAAAAAAAAAAAGTTTCATTTCCAGTTGCATCCATTTGGGGGAGACTTGAGACACCACCTCAGCCTAATACATCCTCCTCTGCAAAGGTTTGGATTCTTCAAATGCTTAGGATTCTGTTGCTTGTTAAACTTGTCACTTAGCTGCTATGTATATGCCCTCCAAAGTCTGTATTGTACTGAAATTTGCAGTACTGTACATGTCATGTCTATGTAGGTACATTTTGGAAGTGTTCTTTTTGAGTCTGTGTTTTACTAAAATAGATCCTTTGGTATATGCCAATGAAAACAGACAACGTGCTCAGATGAGCTTATTACTAGGAATTCGCTGGTACTCTGGAGGGGAATCAAGATCCCCAATATTAATGCTACTAAGGACATCAGTCCAGATAGTTTTCTCTGCTAAGCATGAAGACAGTCCCCGTATCTTCACATCATTTTACATCCGAGAATGGGTCTGACTCAGTATACCTTAAAATGTTCAGTAAATATTTCATGGTCTAATTAATTGAAAAATGTCTACTGATTATGTATTTTCAAAATTGGGCCTGTAACTTTTTACCTGCCATTGTGAAATGCTAAAAAAATACAATTTCAAAGGCCCACTGATCTTTAGGTCCTGGTAGGATGGTGAGTAGTCATCACAGCACTGTTCCTGGCAAGGAACACTGTTAATGGAAAATTCTGGCTGAATATGAAGCAAGGTTTGTTCGTTCATGTTGGGGAAGTGAGTTTGTCAACTTCAAGAATAACTATTTTTAAGAATGTAAATATATACTAATTCTTGTATGTTTTATGGTAATTTTGCATACTGTTACATAAAATTGTTTAAAAGAAAACAATCAGGGTTTTTTCTGGGGCGGGGGAGCTGGTCGTCTCAGTGCTAGGATCGAACTTCAGGTCTCCTACTCGCTAGGCAAGTGCCCTACTGCCAAGCTACACGGCCAGCACAGGTTTCCTTGGATTACAGACCATACATGAATACATATGGTTTCAAGTTTTTACTCACCTCTTCCCATGTGACTCAAGAATTCCGCACAAGTTAGAAAGGGTAAGATATACTTATCTCTAACAATCCATCATTAAACTAGCTTTGGATAAACAACTTTAGAGCTCTTTGTTGTATCACTTTAATAACAGCAAATAAATAACAGAAAGGTTCTGAAACCTCTGAAAAGGTTATACCGTGTAGTCATCAGCAGACATTACTCAAGTAAAGTGACTGTTTTTCTAGATACATTCCAATTCTGCATGAGGCATGATCAAAAACTACAGTGAAGGTTAAAAACAATTTTCAATTCCAACAAGACATATTGCCATTAACCCCCTAAAACCCTTTCACTGCTAACACACTAATCCATCATTCTTTCGGAAGCATTTCTGGAGTTCTCAGTTGCACAGTTGTGGCTGCTTAGATGTTCCTCACCAATGCAAAATGTTCACCTTGCATGGTCAGTTTGACTTTGGGATAGAGTCAGAAGCCACATGGTGCCAAATCAAGTGAATAAAGTGGATGAGGACACGGCACAATGCTTTTATGACCCTGCTTTTCCATTAGATGGCACTCGACAGCAGCACTTACCGTATTTTTAATCATACCTCAAAGACACAAAAGAGAACTTCCATAATGGCTTTGCAAAGTGCCAACGATGGGATAAGTGTGTCTGAAGCAAAGGGGAGTATTCTGAAGGGAGCAAAGTGTCTTTTACACTAACACACATTCACAGCCCAGCGTGGTGGTGCACACCTGCAATCCCAGCACTCAGGAGGCCAAGGCAGGAGGATCACCAAGAGTTCGAGGCCAGCCGGGGGTACACAGTGAGCGCAAGGTCAGCCTGAACTACATACTGAGACCTTGTTTTTTAAAAACAAAACAAAGAAAATGTATCCACTGCATATTTTGATCACTCCCTGTATATATCAGTTCTTTAATAATGCAATTTTAAGTATTTCTCAGTAATTCATTTTGATTTTCATCTATGAAACTCAGGCACAGAATTTATTGAAAGGACCATCTCTGTCCCTCCTACGGACTCCTGGAGCTCCCTTCAAAGCCAAGACCTAGGAGGACCTTAGTTGGAAATAGTTTGCTACCTTCTTATAAAGTTCACAAAGTTAAAATCTTCAGTCAATTATAATACTTTTTAAGAGATTTAAATTACCAGTAAGAATAACTGCACAAAACATTTACTGTTCACACAAGTGTTTATTTGTCATGAGGGACTAAGTATTCCTTAGCCCACATATGATGTTTCACAATTCAGGAACACTGTCACTGACAAATGTCTATGGAACTCAATCCATAGAAACCTGTGGAAAGAAAGACAAGGACTAAGTTAATGATAAACATTCTCAGAACTGACCATCTCTAAGATCAACTGATGCCTGTTCTTATGAGTGGAGCCTATGTTCTGATCACTCTAGCCCCCAGAAGTCCAGTTCAGGAAACCTGGACTGTAGGTTCCCTTTCCTCCAAACTGCCCAACCACTCTCACAGACGCTTCTCTTTTGAGTGTGCCACACCTTAGCTCTTGTTTTTTGCTTTAACAAAGTCAGCATTTTTCTTTCTCAAGTCTCTATAATGCTTATATAATGTCCCTAAAACACTGAAAAAAATTCAATTTTCCAACCATTAAAAATAAATTCTAAGGGCTGGGGATATAGCTCAGCAGCATAGCGCCTGCCTGGCAAGTGCAAGGTCGTGAGTTTGATTCACGGTGTACACACACACACAAAAATAAATTCTATTTCTCAACTAGAATTGTAAAATACTGTGAGAACCACCACTGTTAAGCATTATAAACTATTAGTTCCTTAAATCACCTTTACTTTTCCATCTTTTTCTGTGCAATTAATAGGTCACTCATGTAAAGACATTCTTAATTTTCTAAAAATTTATGTCATTTTACAAATATCATTAATAATGGACACAACATCCCATGGTATGAAAAAAATTCAATTTTCCAATCATTGAAAATAAGTTCTATTTCTCTACTAGAATTGTAAAATACTACGAATACTTGAGCACACACATCTTATCTTCATTTCAGTATTTCCTGAAGACTGACAAAACACAATGCTACAGAATGAAATCTATTACACAAAACTCCTTCGTAGTCTTAATTACCTTTGAATTATTTAGAAAACTGATCTAAGTCCCGTACAACAGGCTTTTTCCCTACCCTAGATCTTGAGAGATACATATACAATTTTTTTTTTAGCACACCTGACATGCTCATTCAGGAACATGGCGCCTGAACAGCAGCTTTACGTTCTCCATGTCAGATCAAAATGATAGATATTCTTTAACGATTTAAATTGTTCCCTCTTTTTTGCTGAGCTTAAATTAAATACATGTCTAGGACTACAAAATATGAACAGTCTCATTAAGTATTTGGTAATTTCCTTTCTGTTCTGTGGATGACCTTTCATCAGGACACCAGTCAGTCCTTTTCTAGATGCAGAACCTTAATTCATACTGTCCGAGACAAGGACCTCATGGATGACAGTCTAGGCCAGGATGTATGAAAAGAGCTAGGAAGTCAATCACAGACAACCACCTGAGAAAGCATAAAAGGAATCCAAAAAACTTCTCCCAAAACATTGTTTTGTTTTCTTTTGTTTGTCTTTTTGAGACAGGGTCTCACTATGCAGTTCAGGCAGGCCTTGAGCTCACTTTGTAGCCCAGGCTGATCTCCAACTTGCAACAACCCTCCTGCCTCAGCCTCCTGAGTGCTGGGATTACAGGTGTGTGCCACCATGCCCGGCTTTATTCTGGTTTTTAAAGGGTTATTCTTAGAAAATAATTTTTCATATTGCTGATCTAGCAATTAGCAAAACTGAGAAATGATTCTGAACATAAATAGTAACTTTAAACAAATGTAAGCAATAAACAGTAGACTTCAAACCTTCAGACCAATCCCCCCACAGTCTTCCCAGAAACAATGAAGGAACAATATATGGACCAAAGTAGTTCTGCAAGAATTGTAAAACCCAGTTAAACCACAGCAACCAAGGAACGCTTAGCCAAGAAAACTGTTGGAAAGGTGGGAAATTTAGGGCAGTGGTGGCAAACCTACAGCACACATGCCGAACTGGCTGTTTGTACCAATGAAAGCTCTAAGAGGTTTACCACCACTGTTTCAGGACTACCTACCCTACCCCGCTGCCGGAGAAAATGACCCAATCCCGGCCTTGCCCTCAGGATTGAAAAGTAGAGCTGGCTTACAGCATGCTGGCTTGTCTGAACCGCTCTGGGGACTGGTTTCTGTCTCACCTGACTTGGAGCACTGGCGGGAACAGTAGACAGTTTGAATACCAAGTTGGAAGCAGAAGCAAGCAGTGGGTGATGCCACAGCATGAGCACTAGGGGAAGGGGTCTGCGGAACTGCACGCACCTGGGGACAGTGGTTAAGGGCAGAAATACAGTGGACCCTGCAGCTCTAAGCAGCAGCAGCAGCAGGAAACTCAGGAAAGTTAAGGAAGGCTAAGAGCAACTGTGTATATATGCAGGGAAAGTGGAACAAAGTGTATATATAGTGCCAGGGAAAATGCATGCTGAGAGAGAACCCTGAGAGAGAACCCTGGCACAACCCCTTTGTGCCAGGCTAATTAATGAAAGTCTTCCATGCACAGAGCAAGTCTACACAGAAGTTATTTTTCCAAATGCCCACATTAACAGAAGATTATGAGGCAGATAAAGAAGGAAACAACGCCTATTCCTAGAACAAATCTCCACAAACCGAATGTAAAAACAAAGAGCAAACAAAAACTACACTGGCCTCTGATAAAAACTTAAAACTATCCACCAGGCACGGTGGTGCATGCCTGTAATCCCAGCACTCAGGAGGCTGAAGCAGGACAACTGCTCCAAATGAAAGTCAGCCTGGGCTACAAAGTAAGTTTAAGGCCAGCCTGAGCAATACAGCAAGACCCTGTCTCAAAAAAAAGAAAAAACTTAAAACTGTCCAAAATATGCTCAGTGAGCTAAGAGAGGACAAGTACACAAAACTGAGAAAACAAAAATGAATTGCTTTTTAATTTTATTGCACAGAAATTAAAAAGAACCAAGCCAATTCCAAAACTGTAAAGTTCAGTAATATAAATTGAAAAAACAGACTTGCTTGTGGGGAAGTGTCTCAAAAGCAGACTCTAATGGCAGAAGAAACCAGTTCCCAAACTTATAGATGGGTAACTGGTATGTATCTGTCTGAACAGTATGGAGAATAAACAATGTGAACAGAGCCTAAAGGACTTGTCAAACACCATCAAGTGCGCCAACATGTTATACAAAAATCTCAGAAAGGGAGAGAAAGCTTATTTGAAGAAATGATGGCTGAAAACTTCACAAAAAGTCTGAAAAATGGAACATAAATATAGCCAGGTCAACAGACTCCAGGTAAAATAGGCAAAGAGAATCTTGAAAGCAGCAAGAAAAATGTGATTCACTATGAAGGAGGCAGCCTCACCAGAACTCTTTCAGGCCAGAAGATTGATAGGATGATACATTTAAAGTCCTGAGGGAAAATATCCATTAACTAAAAATACTACATATATGGAAAAGCTACCCTTCAAAAATAACTAAAAGCTAGGTGTAGCGGCACATTCCTTAATTCCCACGACTGAGGCAGGAGGATCCCTACCTGTTCAAGGCCAGCCTTGTCTACACGTGAGTTTGAGGCCAGCCTGAACTACATAGCAAGATGCTGTCTCAAGGAAAAACAAAAGATAAAAATAAAAGAAAGACACCCCCTATTGAAAGAGATTACTAGCACACCTATACTGGAAGAAATTAATACTTAGCACACCTATACTTCAAAGATATTAATCAGACACGTGTTTATATTGCATTGTTTCTCTTGTATGTGAAACCAAAAGCATAAATAAGAACCAAAATGAATTACAGATATTGGGAAGTAGGGAGATAATGTTCAAATAGGAAGGGGAACCCTTAAAAGTGCAGTCAAATGATTTTCAATAAGGATGCCAAGACCATTCAGTGTGTGTCTGTATATTATACCATATACAAAATTTATCTGAAATGGATTAAAGACTGGGGATATAGTTCAGTGGTAGAGCACACGCTATACGTGCACTATCCCCAGCACCGCAAAAGTATAAAAAAATTGATCGAAGACATAAAATGGTAAAGCTACAAAACTCTTAGGAAAAAGCATAAGAAAGATTCACAACCTTGGATTTAGCAAGCATTTTAGGATTTGACATCAAAAGCATATGCAACAAAAATAAGTATAATGGATATCAAAATTTAAAACTTCTGCCAAGAACACTGTGAAAGGCAACCTATGAAACTAAAGAGAGTATCTGCAAATCAATCATCTGATGAGTCCATATCTAGAATATATAAGGAACTACAACTCAACAACAAAAATCCACCCTAATTCAAAAGCACTAACAGACTTTAATTAAAAAATAACTCCAACATATTCAGTAGGATATATACTGGATCTTAGCCAACAGGCTGATAAGCAATCTACAGGATATACAAATGGCCAGTAAGCAGACAAAATGATGTTCAATTACAAATCCATTAGGAAAATACAACCCAAAGCACTAAAAGATCTCATGCATTACAATGGCTACTATTAAAGGGGAAAAAAACAGTAGTGTTTGTGAACATATGGAGAACCTGGAACCCTTCCTTTGTTCTGCTGAGAGTATAAAATCGGGTAGCCATTATAAACAGTATGTAAGTATCTTTAAAAATAGAACTATCATATGCTTCAGCAATATGGCTTCTGAATACACACCTAAAAGAACTGAAACCAGGGCCTTGAAGAGACATTTATCTGTACACCTATGTTCATAGCAGCTGTTCGCAACTGTTAAAAGTGAAAGCAAGCCAAGTGTCTGTGGAGGACCACCTGGACGATTCTCCTTGAAAGAGCAATTATCTCCATTTTGGCTAAACCTGGCCATATTTCCATGTATCAATATGTACAGAATTGGCTAGGACTTTAATAGGTATATAGTATCAGTTCTGTAACATGAAGAGTTCTGAAAACTAGTTACACACTAATATGAATATACAGTAAATACAAAACTGTACAGTTAAAAATGGTTAACATAATACATTTTACATTTTAACATAGCTAAAAGCTTTTTCAAAGTCATTTCAAATAATTACCTTTTTATTCCTAAATCACTTTGCACTCTGAAAGATACCAGCCTTCCTCATTTCTTCAAAATCTTTCATGGAATCATAATTTTTGTAGAAATCTGCATATGCCTTCTTTCTTGGTTCAGCCACACCAAACTAAAACATAACAGACATTTTTTTTTAAGTTCCAAATTTAATATCTAAAGACAATATAAATTACAATATCCTTTTGTTCATCCTTTAATTTGAACCCTACAAAAGTAGAGTAAGTGACACAGATGCAAGGACAAGGAAACAGTTCACAGAAACTACACAGCAAGACAGCCCTCCTTGCCTAGGGACAGACTGTACCTTTCACCGGGTGGATTCTATGTGTATGGCTCATATGTGTTTGACGTGGCAAGAGCCAGGGGACGATACCCAAAAAATGACAAGGTGTCAGAAAACAGCCTTCCCTCCAAAAAAGCCTAAATCTCTCTCCAGCCAAGACATGCAAAAATATTCTGCTTCAATTAACCCAAGTCTGAGCCTGATTTGGTAACCAAGAAATCTCTCAAAGGCACAGAGAGCTTGTTTAGAGGTTCTAGCAGGAGAGCGGCTACTCAAATACCCTTGACCTGGGAACGGTCCTCTATCGGGGGTGGTCATCCTCTTCGATAAAGTGCACAGCTTTGGGAAGGACGCACATGGAGCACTGAGGGAGGAAGCGGACACCCGCCTAGCCAGCCAGATCAGTCGAATCAACCTGGTGATCAATGGGATGACACATGTTGTAGCCAGATCGCCCTCACATCCTAGGCACGGAAAACTTATTATCTGACAAGAGTAATTTGAGGTGATTCATTTAACATCTAAAAGCAGGCACTGACCCTCTTTACAAATAAAGAAATGGACCTAAAATAATAGCAACTTTGAGAGAGCAAGCCTTTAAATAGCTAACACTGCAACATGGGTGGGGGGCATCATTTTGTTTGGATTTTACTTGTGTTTTGCAATTTCTCCAAAGGGGAGGGATCAACAAAGAACAAATGAAGATCCTAAGAATGAAGAGAGCAATGTGGAGTTTAACTTAAAGTCTAGGAAGCACTAGCTGGAAGACAGCTGTAGCAGAATTCAAACCCATCTCTTGTCACATGCAAGTTTTACTCTGCACTAAACACTGCTTAGTGAGTTTCAATGGGTGAGTAATAATACAACCTTAAATCTCAACCTGCATATAAAAAAGAGTACAAATTCAAGTAGCAGTCCAAAGGTGTTAGAAAAATTCACAGAACTGCATTATTGCATGAAATAATGCAGTTAGGAGCCAGCTACCAGATCAGTTTTTGGGGGGTTTTTTTGGTACTAGGAATCAAACTCAGGACCTTGCGCTTGCCCGGCAGGTGCTTGTGCCACTGAGCTATATCCCCACCCCTGATATCTTACGAATTTACTTAAATATTTCTTCTTTATACTCTTATAATTTTGTTGTTATTGTTGTTGCTGGGAATCGAACTTAGAGCCTTGTGCTTGCTAGGCAGGCACTGTGCCACTAGCAACATCCCCGGCACACTACCAGATCAGTTCTACTGTTTCACTTCTATTCAAATTCCCAATTTCTTCTATTAACAGATCAAAAGGAACAAGCCTCGGTGCTGGTCTCTGAACTGAAGTCGGGTGGGCCCTATCAATATATGTGGCAGCTAATTTTTTTTTCTTTAAATAATTTTCTTGAGACAGAGTGTCATTATATAGTTTAGGCTAGCTTTTGTGATTATCGTGCATCAGTGTAGCTGGGGTAAGTGATAGTTGGTAATACATTATTTCCAACTTTGTCTGTGACAGTGCTCGGGTGCAAAACTAGAGTGAAGAACCTCACCAACGTGAACAGGAGGGCCTAAACAGAACAAAAAGGCAGTGGTAGGGTAAATTCTCTGTTAAACTGGAGCACACATCACCTCTTGTCCTCATGAGGCTCCTAGTCTCCCATCTCTGGGACTTAAACCAGCAGTGCCCTTGTCCCAGGTCTTTGCACTGCTACTGGGAGGTATACCATCAGCTGCCTGGTTCTCAGACCTTCAAACAAGACTGCATGACCTCAACAGCTTCTTGGATCTCCAAATTATAGATGCAATATAGTACAACTTCTAAGCTCTCCCTATATATGCAGGCAGGCGCGGGCACGCGCGTACACACACACACACACACAAACACTATGCAATGATGAGTATTTTGTTAGAAGAAAAATATCTAAACAATTATGGAACACAGGGCAAAAGTAACTGTTAGTAAACCTAAGAAATGAAAGCAAATTAATTATAACCTTACTTAAATTTTGTCTATTACACTTCAAATGAGAGATTTTTGTAAGTCTGGAAAATATGGACTTCAGGGAAGAAAAAAGGCAAATAAATTACCTATTTAGGTCCTCCAAGGACTGCTGCAAGTATGAGGCTAGCCTGGGCTACATAGTGAGTTCAAGACCAGCCTGGACTACATAGTGAGTCCCTGTCTCAGAAAACAAAATCAAGAAAAGGTCCTCCAAGTCATGAATAACAATCATAAAGTAACCCACATCCAGTATCTTACATGATGAGCCAATACCTGAAGATTTAAAACAAGCCTAACTTATGACAGTGATCAGTTAACCTAAAGGAAAACTCCACATTTGATGTAAATACTGTCCTTCTGTCTCTTAAACTTAACTCATCTTCATGAATGTAAGCTTATTACAGACTAACTTAATCAAGAATGATTTACTAGATTCTAACTGCCAGTAAAGAACACAGAAGTTGGCTGAAACTGAAAATAGGCCTAAACTTGGAATTTAAAGGGGAGAAATAACCCAAGTCTTCCAAAGCACTCATCACTAACCGGGTAGGGGAAACAAAGGAGAAGAACATCTACTAAGACAACCAAAGCTTACTACTAAATTACTAAGAATCCAGATTCTTACTGTTTTGGGAACCTTCCTCCTAATCAAACACTAATAAGCTAACTGTACACAAATACTTTACCTCATCACCAAACTTTTTTAAATTTTTCATCACAGTGGATAGACTGAGTCTGGCATGGACCCAGCTCTTTAACAAAAATTAAGGAAATACAATTTAATAGAAAATCCAACATGCCCAATGCCATAAAACAGCCTGGTACAAAATGCCTGAGAACCCAGAAGACCAGAACCAACCTCCTCTTCAGGTGGACTGGGTGTGCACTGCTCCAGAGAACATTTGAGCAGGCCTTGAAAAACAAACAGGAATTTGTCAGACAATGAAATAAAAGATGTTCCTCGCATGCTCATAAGCATGGGAAAAAGCAGATCTGGGTAACAGCAAACACTGTAGTGGTCAAGGACTGCTGAGCTAAACGTATTACCAATGCTGGGGATAACAATGGAAAGGAAGAAAGAGTGTATCAGAAAAGGTCTTAGAATCAAGGGTGAGTTTTAGTATTAGCTTTTGGAGTGTGTTTCAAGTCATCCATAACCCATCAGCAGGACATGAAATCAACACAGAAGTCTGCAGCTAAAACTTTGAAAAACAGAACAGAAAATATTAACAGCACCACATTATTTTGTGGCAAACTATTTCCGTTTTATGTACAGATATAACTATAAACTCTCTACACATATGTGTAAGTATGTTAACAATCACAATGCAAAAATGTAAGCCAGGCATGGTGGTACACAGCCTGTAAACGCAGCATGGAGGAGGCTGAGGCAAGAGGATTGCTGCAGAGTTCAAGGCCAGCCTGAACTACAGGAAGAAAACAAAAATAAAACAGATCCAATGGGAAAATGTATTTCTCAAGTAGGTCAAAAGTTTCAAAACCACTACACACTCAATAGTGGGTAACCCAGTAACATAAATACAGCTATTCTAGTAGTTACTACTTAAAGAGGCAAGAATCCACACAAGCTATAAAGGCCTAAAATTTCATAAGAACAATGACATCAGAGCAAAGGAAAGATCTCCCATATTTTCTCATCTACTCATCCTTTCTTCTATAAACATTTATTTCATGCCCATCAGACAGCAGGGACCTCAGGACAAAGCAACAGGGTTACTTTCTGTGCCTGCCTCTTTAAATGGTCCCAAAGCATGGGCCCACTTAATGCTTTTGTTTAGTGTTCCCCACTCCTCTGTGTTCTGTTTTGGTTTACAATCACACACACCTCTGCTGGCATCTGCCTGTGTTCAGGTGGGGCCTGTGCAAAGTGACAATGAGCTCAGCAGCTGAAAGAGCTGATAGCAGGTGGCTTGCTGGGGGGTGACTTGGAAGGGTGTATTCTTGTCCCGGCCTCTTCTCTCCACTCTTTGCTTCCTGGCTGCCACAGAATGAGCAGCTGTCCTCTGCTCAGGTCCTTTCACCATGCCTTTTCTGCCTTCAAGACAGCTATGAAGTGAAATCTCTAAAAACCATGACCCAAATAAACCTCTCCTTTAAACTGAATGTTGAGTATTTTGTTCCAGCAATGAAAGTAAGTAGTTCCATTTGTAGAGGTCTCAGTCCAGTGAGGTGGCTCCAAGCAGGATGCATGGTGGACACATGGTGAAGCGGCAGCTCACAGGATGGCAGGGAGGCAGAGAGATTAAGGAAGGGCCCTGCAGGAAGATAAAACCCTTCCAGGCCGTCCCCCCACACCCTCTCGGACCAGAGGCCACCTCTATGAAGGGGCTTTAAGAGGCGGTCTAGCTGCCGCGAGGGTGCACACCTGTAATCCCACCACTCGGGAGGCTGACGTAGGAGGATCGTTGTGAGTTCGAGGCCAGCCTGGGCTACATAGTAAGTTCATGGCGACCCTGAATTACATAGCGAGACTCTTGTCTCGAAAGGGAGGGAGGAATCTAGATAAATCAAAGCACTAAGTTCTCCCTAATTTTCAAAGGCTCAGATTCCACCTTCTCTTCATTTAAAAAAACAAAAAACAAAAAACCAGGCATGGCGGCTCATGCCTGTAATTCCAGAACTCAGGAGGCTGAGGCAGGAGGACTGCAAGTTCAAGGCCTGAACTACATAGCAAGACTCCTCTCAAAAAACTAAAATCAGTAAATAAAATAAAATACATTTAAAAACTAAAAACACACTTCACGATCTTAAAGTAAAAAACAAACACATGTACCTTATAGAGAGCCGCAACCCCCACGGAGACAAAGAATGCTCCAACAATGTGAATCCGCAGACGCCTGGCCAGAAGACCACGCATCTGAGGCTTGGCCAGCACGCTGGAACTCATGGTAGTCACTGTCCTGCACAGGTAAGGGAAGGAAAAGCAAAGCGGAACACCTTAGGACACAGTAAGCGAGCTGAAGCACTCCCTCCCAGGACAGCAGGGGATGACTCCACAATGCGCACGGCGCCGAGCGGCCCAGCCTTAACCTCCCCCGGGCGCTGAGCTACCCCCAGGTACACGCGGAAACGGTGCAGCCGGAGAGCGGCCGCTCTCCGCGGGCCGGCGCACGCGCACGCGCACGCACAGCCGTACCCTTACAGCCCCGGCCAGCCGCGAGGCCGAAGGCCCCCGCGCCCCCGGGGGCACGCCTACTCAGAGGGGCGCCCAGCGGCT